CGGCCGATTTCAACCACGCCCACTTCGAAGCCGTTCAGCTCCCTTTCTAGCGGCTTTCCAAGGTGAGTTTTTTGTTCAGTCACACTTCTTATGTTCTTGACTAGGGCTAGCGCATCGTTCCACACCATTAGTGTCGAAGGTAAAAACCCTGCTGGGACTGTTGCTTTGAGAAGTTCGCTCAATGTCACCCATTTTCACGGAGAACTACAATATAAGAAGGTAACGAAGCGCCGCGGCAGAAGTTGCATATAAGGGTGGAATTCGCCGTTCCGACTATAAGGTACTGCTATTTACGCCCCAGCCTTTTCTGCTCTGGATCAACTTTGACCACGCCCCACGTGCGCGCCTCGAATTTCAATGATGGTGCCCTTCTACAGCATCTTTGCTTTGGTTCGTGGCGGCGACGAACCCAGTACTTATTCGGAAGAACCTCAACAAGGGATGAGCAAAAACCAATCCTTGTGATCTGGGAAACCACCATTTTACCTGCTCGTTGTCGTTTATGGAAAGAGAGGGCTTGGCGTTGATCAGTGCGGCTCTGGAATGCGCCACGCATTTTTCTACTCACGACCAGAGTGTCGCTTAAATACGGATCTGGTCTAATTGGTAAGACTCTTTAATTTAACCACATCAAATGCCAGTTATGCGGCTCGAGAGTAGTATGGTAATTTATTCGAGCAAAATTCTACCCGGGATTCAACCTCGAGACAGGCATGTTCTAACTGCGCGACTTGCCACTTCTCCAATCCCATCCTCTCCTGCAGAAATCACCACCACCTATCCCACAAGTTTCAACAAAGGACAGCCGAACCAAAAATCCAATTCGAAAAGTTTGAACAGAAAAGTGCCCTGAAATGTTGGCCTACCTGTTGATAGATAGCAGAATCTGTGCTCTGAAACTATTGATCAATCGAAGTCTAACAAAGAATCAATAATCGATCTTGCAACACTTACCCCTCTTTTCTCCTTGTACTGAGCAACCAGACTATGGACCTGTTCACTCAGACTTTTTGTAGATGAGCGAGCTTTTCTCTGCTTCCGTCGAGTACAATAATTCACAACCTGAAATTCAATCGAATCAATAATCGTCCATTCCGTGGACTTTTTTCGCTGAAATGCTTTTTCTGAATATCTGACAGGAACACATAGCATATGCCATGCACTCGAACTTCGTTCAAAACCAGAGCCGTTTGACAGCTTAGCTTTAGTCAGTCCAGCCCCAAGCAACCCGCCCACTTCTGTGGATTCTACCTGGGGATTTTTTTCCTTTCTCGAATAAGTCCAGCACTATAGAGCTGATCAGAGGGAAATTATGTGCTCAGTTGATCTAGGGGTAACTAAATCCGATGTTCCTTTCCGCTGGCGCGACAGCGACATTCAGGCAACCTGCCTTTTCCATTCTCTCGTCGGTGTTTTTTCCACACAGTCATCACATACCACAGGGGAGCGAATCAGGACCAAGGGACATTTGCAGCACTCTTCGCCCCGAAAATGAAAATGGGAAAAAGAACTTTTTTCTTCTATCAACCAGGGTTGTCCCGTAAAAGAGCAAACATGTCCAAAAATTATCGCATCAAAATCATAAAAGTTCAAGGGATTACTGCCTCATTTTCCGACATTGTGGTACTGCATTTGGTTTCCGAGGGAAAATCGTTTAACAA